ACTACTATGAAACTGTAGGGGAGCAAATGGAGCTGATTTTAGAAGGAACCTCAGAGCAGTCCTCTCCTGGAACAATCCCAACATGGTCTGTCTCACTGAGACAAAAATGAAGGAAACAACCGATGAAGCACTAATGTTGGATCTAGGGTTTACCAACTTGCTACACGTTGATACAGTAGGCTATTAAGGTGGGCTGATTATGTTGTGGAAGGAGCATGAAGTGGCACATGTGGACCCCATTGCAGCCACCAATCACGAGATCATGCAAATGTCCAGGTAGGTCTTACTAGCCCACTCTGGATACTTTCTATGGTTTATGCTAGTACTAGGTTTAATAATAGAAAATTTTATGGGATAACCTAGAACAGATCTCTATATCCCATGCACTACCTTGGGTCATGTGTGGGGATTTCAATGAAATTACTTCTGTTGCGAATAAATTTCGGGGAAACCATATTAATAATAATCGAGCAAATGCCCTACTAACTTATCTCCAAAATATCAACATGGTCAATCTGGGGTTTACGTGCTCCAGATTCACCTGGTAAAACCTTAGAAGTACTAGAAACAACCTAATCTTGGAAAGACTAGCTCGCTTCTATGCAAACCTATCATGTCTTAGTCTGCACCCTGATTCCACTATCACACACCTTCCCCACACCTACTCAGACCATTGTCCCCTCCTATTGTCTCTATAAAAAAATAACGAAGCCTAATAATTTATTTAGGCTGGAAACCATGTGGTTCAGCCACCCGAACTTTAAAAATATTGTTAATTACCACCGGCATCAACCTCCATATATCTTATTGCTCTAGAAAACTTTACAAACCATGCCAAATATTGGAACAAGTCTATTTTTGAGAATATTTTCCACACAAAAAAGGTCCTACTCGTAAGACTAGCAGGACTCCAAAATATGAACAATCCTAATAAGTCTTTATTCTATCAAAACCTAAAAAATAACCTTCGCAGAAATATAATTTGGTTCTAAAAAACGAAGAAGATTTTTGGATGTTAAAATGTAGAGTGCAATGGCTAAATGAGGGCGACGCAAATACTAAGTTCTTCCACACTTCTATTATCTAAAGAATAAGATGTAACATGATATTAGGATTAAATGACTCTATAGGTAACTGGACATACGATCATAAAGAAATTAACTCTATTATCCTAAACCAGTACACCACCATTTACTCATCTGAGCTTAGGTCTAGCAACATTACATCTCACGAATGATTTGGGTATGCTCTATCAGAGGAGGATAGAAGCCAGATATCAAAGCCCATTCCGGAGGAAGAAATTCATAGAGCAATTAATTCATTCAAACCCTTTAAAGCGTCTGGGCCAGATGGACTACATCCAAATTTCTTTCAAAAGCACTGGAATTCCACTAGATGCGCTATAACCCAAATTTGCAAAGATGTTTTTGAATCTTTACCATCCCAAGTGAGATAAATACCACCTTTATCACACTCATACCAAAAGTTAAAAACTCTGAACACATATTCTTATTTAGACCAATCAGCCTATGCAACATAGTCTATAGAACGATTACCAAAACTATTGTCAACAGGATTCGTCCATTCATCAAACATCTCATTAGTCCCAATCAATGCAGTTTCCTCCCAGGTCGAAGGGGTGTTGACAATGCAATCATAGTGCAAGAAGAAATCCACTCCTTCAAACGCATGTCAAGATGCATGGGCAACATGCTGCTTAAACTAGACCTAGAAAAAGCGTTCGATAGACTAGAATGGTCCTTCATATGCAAATCACTTTACAACCTAGGCTTCCCCACCAAACTAATCAAACTAATCATGAATTGTATCTCCACCTCCTCCATCTTAATTATGATAAATGAAAAACCAACAAAATTCTTTGAACCGTCGCGAGGTCTTCGACAAGGAGACCCACTATCCCCCTACATCTTCATCATTTGTACGCAGTCATTATCCCACAAAATTGATCAAGCAACAGCCAATAGCGACTGGACACCAGTCAAGATTAGTAGATCGAGGCCACCAGTCTCACACTTGCTTTTCGCAGACGACCTCATACTATTCGCACGTGTTGATCTACATAACGCCAGCTCTATTATTAATATATCCAATTCACTCCACCACTAATCAGGGCAAAAAATCGATTTCTCAAAATCAAAAGTTTTCTTCTCCAAAAATATTCCAATCAACAAACAAGATTGCCTTATCAATGCCCTAAATAATTGCAAGTCTACTAACTTTGGTAAATACCTTGGCTTCCATCTGACAAACCATTCCCTTAAAGGCAAAGACTATCAATTCATAATTGACAAAATGAACGACAAACTTTCAGGCTGAAAAGCAAAATCTCTCAACATGGCAGGTAGAACCACTCTCATCTACTCAGCATTAGCCTTCACACCAAATTATTCCATGCAAAACAATTTACTACCAACTTCCACTAGGAACCACATAGACCGTGTCCAACAAAATTTTCTATGGGGATCAACTCCGGAGAAAAGGAAAGTACACCTTGCTAACTGGGAGACTGTAACAACACCAAAAATGCTCGGAGGGATGGGGCTTTATAAATCCAGTGAGAAAAATTATGCAATGCAAGAAGGGTTACCATGCGATTCCATAAGAGCGATCAATCCTTGTCGGTAAAAATTCTTCAAGCAAAATATGTTCAACATAGACGTGCAGGAACATACGAGGCTAAACCTGCTGATTCATACATATGAAAAAGCATGACCAAAGCAAATGTCCTATTTCACACGGGGCTATCCTGGAACATAGGAGATGGAAAAAAATCAATCTCTATAACGACAACTGGATTCCTCATAATAATTGTTTGCGCAACTCAATACAAGGGCCTCTACAATATATGGAGGAACAACAAATAGTGTCGTCAATCCTTACAAATCATTCGTGGTATTTGGATAGATTATCCATAACCCTACATCCTGATACTGTAGATCAAATCAAAAATACCTACATCCCATTCTCAACCAAACCTGGCCAATCTTTCTGGAACCAAATATCTCTTGTAAACTTTACCGCTTTGGCAGCTTAAGAGTTTGAATAAGTTGAAATCTTTCTTGTGGCTACTTGTACATCACAAATTACCTACTAAAGACTTCCTGTTAAAAAAAAATATACTCCAAATAATTTTTTTCCAATTCTGTCCAACCGTAGTGGAAGACATACACCACATATTCTTCTCATGCAAAAACTCCTACCACTTATGGTCTTTGTTCAACCTACAAAGACCTCAAGTACACAACTTTGTCCACTGCATAAAGGATACGTGTCACAAAGACACTACCATCCACACAACAAATGCTTCCTTTAAAACTCCAAACTCCACTCTACTGCCTTTTATCCTTTAGAACATTTGGATTAATAGGAACTCAAACCTCTTCAATCTTACTTCATCTCTAACGTGACACAAAAAAATCATGACACAAGTTACAGAATTCATTTCACTCGCCCAGATTACTGTGACATCAAATCCTACGCTTTAAATACCAATAAGATGGCTCCCACCTACTAGCCACTACAAGCTAAATATTGATGGAGCTTATGACAAAAACAAACAAGTCAGTGGCACTGGTGAACTCATCAGAAACCACAATGTCAATTGGATATTATGCTTTGTGTAGAAGGTAGCTGCACTCTTCATGCTGAACTGCTGGCACTAATAGCAGGACTAGAGCTCACCTTTACAAAAAAAAAAAAAAACTTTCCTACTATAGTGAAAAGAGATTCACAAGTATTATGTAACTTATTTAAAGATGAACAACCCTTCTACTCACATCTTCTTCATGATTGCAGTTTTCTTCTTGATGCTGTTGGAGTGGAATTGATATATATATATATATATATATTGGGAAGGCAATTCTATGGCTGACACTCTGGTAAACTATGGAAGCTCCAAGCAACCAACAACAAAGGAGGGAGATAACACTATGTTCTGGGAAACACATCCAGACTTTATTTTACATGTTTTTAATAAAGACAAATTGGGAAAAACTACCATGCGGTCTATCCCTATGTTACGTAACAACTAAACATTTCCATACTTTTAATATAAGTCTCTACTGAAAAAAAGGAAAAAGAAAAAGAAAAAACGTATTAAGATTACTCTTAGAATGAGATGATTTGATAGTATTTATTTTGTATTTACTATTTACCTTCAAAACTAGTACTCCTATCAGCCATGTGAACACTTGTCCAGTATTCTTTTTTCTTTTTTTATTGTTCCATAAAAGATAGCCATATCAAAACTTATGATTAACTTTTTTAAAAAAAATTCCAATTGTGGGCTTTTTGTACTATCTAAATATAGCAAAAGTATATGTTTATCTTTGTCATTACAGGCAGGGGTAAGGTCAAAACTTTACCCTTTTCAGTCCCATAATGCATAAATATACTGGTATACTGTTATTGTTGTATATACTTATCTTGGGATTCTTTAACTGTTTGTTTCTTTATTCTTTTTACAATAACTTTTTCAATGCAAGAATCCTGTATTAATAGAATAGTATTGTAGTACTCGCGCTTTGGCTGGCAAAGGCAAACTACATAACCTGACTTCTAGCCACGAAGGAATAAAATACTTTTCAGCATCCTATACTAACCTCGAGATGGAATATAAGAATATATTTATTTCATATTTGGTATGAATAATGAAATAAATTTTATATTGAAACAATGGGATTGGGTTAGGTAATCCGTAGTATATCCCAGGCCTATGAGATATCCTTATCTATCTCACATGATAATCAAATGACCCTATTAAAATCATATACTAGTAAATTTTAAAAGCTATAATTGTAGTTACATAGTTATTAAATGTAATAACATATTTAAAATTATATATTTTAATTTTTATTATATTTAAATATATAAAGAGTATATATTAATATTAATTTAATTTAAACAACGTGTAAATCATTTAGCGAAGGACCACCTCAAATCCTTTTACCCAACCTAGCCGGATGCCAACGATTTGACATCTCATAATTGCACAAATACACGCACGTACCCCACCAACCGACGCTCTATTATTTTGTTTTATTGAAGAAGAAGCACCCTTCTCTTCTCTTACTTTTATTTTCTTCCTTTCTTCTTCATCATCAATTTTCAGCTCATTACTCTGCACCTTCCTTTTTCGTAACATACATACCCATATTGCGTTTCCTTTATCTTTGTTAGATATATTAATTAATAGCAGTCAGTTGTAAGAATTACTGCCAATTCTTTGTAGTTTTCTTTCAGTTTCAGTTTTGACAAAAAAAATATGGATGAATTTGGCGTTTTGGTTGAGAGATATGGCGTTAAAGTTCAAGGTGGCAAGTCAACACCGATGGCCAATTTGAAGGCTAATAAAGCCAATTCCACCAATGGCTTTCCCTCAAACCTTGGGTTTAATTCGGGTCAAAACTCGGGTTACAGCTCCGATCCATTTGACGGATCATTTGCGAATGATCTCGATGGAATTTTTCGGTCCAAGAGTTCACAGAATTACGACAATAATGATATTTTCGGTGGCGTTTTTGCAAATTCAAAGCAGCAGAATAATGTTGATATTGAATCAGTGTTAGGTGGTTCTAATAGTAATAATAACAATAACTATGACGGTAATAATTCGTATGATGATTTTGATTTGTTTGGTACGGCACCAAAGAGGAGTGACTCAATTGATGATTTATTTGGGAACTTGGGATTGAAATCGGATGGTCCGAAGAAAGATCATGCTGGAAAGAGGTCAGAAAGTGATGATTTGATTCCTGGATTTGGTGATTTTAGCTCACCTAGTTATGGGTATGTATTTAGTTCAATTGTGAACGATTTAATTTTTCAACTCTTTTCCCTTCTATTTATGTTTTAGACTTTGAAGTTTCCAGTTGACTAGGAATTTGTTGTGTAGGTGTATTGTTAATTGAGTTTAAGTTCTGTGCACTGATTGTGTAAATTTCTTTATATAATCTGGTCCTTTTAAAAGTAAATGCAGTAACTCTAATGAATAGCATTAGTCGAAGCTAAATTGTACTGATGTGTAACGAATTCCTTTGTTAGTGCATATAACTCAAGTCCTTGTTAATTTTGTGAACTGTGAGCTGAATGGAAGCATACCACTAATTCTTGCATTAGGGTAGATTGTCTCCATCACATCCCTTGTGGTGCGGCCCTACCCCGCATGAACGCGGGATGCCTTGTGCACTGGGTTGCCCTTTTCTTTTTGAGCTGAAATGGGAAGCAAAAAAGTTTTTTTTTTGCTTCATAACTTATAGGCTAAAGCAGTTGTTAACTGAATCCTATGCTAGAAGTCACTATATGGATTTTTATTATGAGCTAAGAGCTCAATATAACATTGAAAATGTATTTGGTATAGCAAATTGAATGTTGAGATATGAGAAATTCAGAGGTCGTATAGAGAGAGAGATACTCACAGTGTCTATGAACTAATTTACATAGATCCCCTTTTTACTATCTTTTTGTCAGTGAATATTTTTCAAGTGTTCGATGGACTGCCGTGTGTCCATAAAATCATAATGCTTAATCTCAGTAGTATCTTGATCTTGGAGCTGCTTCAGGCCATACCATCTGTTTTGGGGCGAAGTTTAACCTTATTAATACCCAAGTGTTCCATGTTAGGATGTGACCATCTTTGCAAGGCAATGATCATCTTACGATGTAACTAACATTGCCATGAAAAACTCGATTTATGCACAAAGCTGTATGGATGTGTAACTCAAACCTACAATAAGAGGATGTCGTGCAAATCATGGGAGTCAACTAACTTCTGCCACATCATTTTGGTCTTTTTGGCACTAGGTTTGTCATGCCTAGTGTGCCTGCTATTTGATACCCATGCATTTTTTGGAAAGTGCAATTGCACCTCATTGTTTTTTCCCATTATTGTATCACGCTGTTCATCCCCAAAAGCATTGTTTAAAAGTCTATATGTTTCTGTGTGTACAGCAAAAAGCTAGAGACGAAAGGTTCTCAGCAGTCGAATTCTTCTAAATCAAGCTCCTCTTCGCCAGATGATCCATTTTTAGTTTTTGAATCATCCACCAGGGAGGCAAATGCTTCTTCTTGGCCATTTTCAGAATCATCGGAACATCATCCTGGAATTAGCACTGTAACTTCTTCAATTGACGAACTTGAAGATTTTGCGAATTTTAAGGTTAGGAGTAATGTTACTGAACAATCACATGATACTAAAAAGGACGCCTATGTAAAGAAGCCTGTGGAAAGAGCACAAGAGAAGTCCAAAAATGTGAGAGTGACGATCAACAAACCGAGCAAGACAACAACACCAAATTCTGCAGCTAAGGTATTGGATTAAGACTGTTGGATTCCAAGATCTTATGGGTACTGATTGACTAACCCTTTTGATTTCTTCTTGTGTCATGTTTCTCTCCTTCCCCCTTCTTTCAGGGCCATGTGTCTGCAGATTTCCATGAGAAAGGAAAGCCTGAAGAAAAGAAATCATCATCCATAAGGAAGAATGTGTCGCCTGTGAAAAACTTTGTTGATGATTTAATGTTTTTTGGAGGTGATCATTTCTGCAAAAGAAGATACTAAATTTTGTTGAGGAATTAATGCGTTAGAATTTATTAATACCAGAATATTTTATTTGTTTTAATTCTAATAAATTATATTATTCCCGTTCTTATTTATTAGTCTTTGTGCACATGCAGACTCTGCTCCTTCCTCTGAGGTGTTTCAGGAAGTTGAAGGAGAAAGTGAAGAAAGACGAAGAGCTAGATTGAAGCATCATATGAAGACCCAAGAGCGCATGGTAAAATTTCTATTTAAGAATCTTTTAACTGTCCCTTCAGTTGAGTATTGTGCTATCTTATCCTCATTACCCACAATAATTTCTTATTGTTGGATGAGTATTGTGCTAACATATCCTCATAGCATGAAATAATCCTCTTATTGTTGGATCCATTAAATCATCCCTGATTCTGTGGAGAGAGAATGGTTTTTAAGTTGGTTGATGTGTGGCTGCTTGAGAAATTCAGCTATATTGGGAAGAGGAAGATCTGTATACGAGTTGGTCAAAGGTTTGCTTGTGCTTCTCGTTAATATGAGGTCTTTTCTTCAAGTGATTTAGAAAAGGCTGTTTGAAGGTTGTTCTGGGGTATAAGTTTGGCCTATGATGTGGTGTTTCCTTAACTTTTCCCACTAGATGCTGAGGTTTATATGTCTCTCTAACTCATGGGTCTACACATGAGTTATAGAGATATAGCAGCTTTTATCAAGTACTACACATTGACTACTTGATGCCCTAGTGATTGTGTCCTCCTTGGAAATTTAGAGTACAAAAGAAATTTTTAAAGCATTTTTTAAAGTTGGTTGGCAAATTAAGAGCAGTTTTAAAGCATTTCAGAGTATAATGTGTAGTTTACAATTAATCATTCTTAAAAAAATGCAAACAACTCTCTGGTAGAATGAGATAGATTCCGGAGATTGTTTCCCTGTGTTTTTGTACAGCTTTTAGATTACCATTACCACTGAGTGTACTATAGAAGTGGCTAGCAATTGGATTCCCATTTAGCGCTCTCGCCAATGTGATGTCTAGTTTTTCTTGCTTACGTTTGAGTTGTTTGCTATGCTACATGGATCCTTAGTTTTCTCTCACTGAACCGGTGTCCATCCAAGATTACACCGGTGCTGGAGCAGGATTCGTACAAGATCCAGTCAATATCTGGAGGATCTTTGACTGGCACATAAGTTGAAATAGGAAGAATGAGCGGACAGACAATAAGATGAAGACAAGATGGAACAAGAAGTAGTGCAAGCTGTCCGTTGTACAGGATTTAGATGCTATGTTAGACATGATTGGGAACTGCACAATTTGTAATTTTACTTTTTGCACTTGCTTAGTGCTGATCCTTAATCTAAATTATCATTTGTCAAAAAGAGGGAACAAGAAGTACAAACATGGTCCATAGCCGCCATCTGTTTTGTCATTCATCCCCTCAATCACTTCCCTCGTGACTTGCTTGACCTTGAAGATAGCTAAGTCAAAACCTCTAGATCTTCCTGTATCATGGTTGTTGATTTCTTTCCAAGTGACATAAGAAGCACACAAAAAATAAAGAAGATGCTTTAGTCAGCATGAGGGTTGAAGATTAATGAGAAAGAAGAAAGGAATTCTGTAAAAACTATTTTGATTCTGAAACCGCAGAATCGCTAAATCTTGCTGGAGAAAGAGGAGTGATGGAGATGAATGGAAGTATAAGAAGAGAAATGTTCTCTGTGGAGGCTACAGATCAGAACATCAAGAATTGGGGTAGTTGTCCCGGCTTTTGGAGTTGGTGTTGGATGTGGTTTTAGTTAAAAATGTTTCTTCCGCCAACGTAATCCCATTGCCCCAGATATAATCTTGCAGGTTTTGATGTATCTTATTTGGTTTAGACTTTAGAAGCTACCAAGATCAACGAAATCCATTATCTGTATTCTGGAAAAAAATCCAGTATCTGCATTTTGAATTAAGGATAATAGAAAATCACCAGAAATAGACAAGCAAAAAAAAAATCAATTAGAAAAATCAAGTGGAGTATGTCGTTACAAAGTCTTCTCAATATCTGATGCTACATTTTGAACAGCTCTATCTTTTAGGAATTGAACGCAGCCGTATCTTAGCACCCGTAAGTCCGCAACCTAATTTTACTTGTATCCCAAATCCTAAAGTTTAGTTTATGACAAGCCTGCCTTCTAGTCTGGTTGTTATTTGCACGGTCGAATGCTTGTGCGTGGGTGCATATATGAAATAACTGGAATGCTACTCCAAGGTGTTATATTGTTGTGAAGTTGCCTTAAAAAAAAATTCCCCTGCGAACTAAATATGTGTCTCATTGGGCGAGTTTTACGGTATCTGATTCTTCTGCTTTATGTGATCAGGCTAAGGCTTTGGCTGAGAAGACTCGGCGCGATCTTCAGTCTCAGAATGAGCAGGATGAGAAGCATGTAAGTTTATGATGATTGCTTAGAGCTGTCAATAACTGATTTTCATGGGAAGGAAAATATCCTCCCCCATTTGCCTTT